GTATGGATCACTTGGGTTGTTACCAACATCTGGTGAAAATTTCATGTCATTAGCACCTCTAGTAATATATTTACTGAGAAAAATGGTAACGTGTTCAATACTTATTTTACCCGCTGTTTAGTCAAAAACATAATGAAAGCAATAAAACAAATATAAAAATGGTCTTATGACTGGGGTTTTAAATTTTCAGTTAGTAAGTCATGCTACATGGTGATTACTAACAGAAGAAATATTAATATTGAGAAATTAACATTATTTGATCAGCATTTGGAAATGGTATCAGAATTCAAATATTTAGGAGTGTGGATAGACAAAACATATACATGGAAAACACACATAAAACATTTAGAAACAAAATGCAAAACAGTAATGAATTTAATTAAAGCTATAGCAGGAAACGACTGGGGAGCAGATAAGAAATCATTATTAAATATATACAGGGCATTAATGAGATCTGTTATAGACTATGGAAGTATTGTGTACGGAGCAGCAGCAAATACAACATTGCAAATAATAGACCGGTTACAATATAGGGCATTAAGAATATGTTCAGGAGCAATAAAGACCACTCCCATTAATGCATTGCTAGTAGAAAACGGAGAGACACCACTAGATCTGAGAAGGATTAAACTAACATTAACATACTGGACTAAACTACAAGGAAGTAAAGAGGAAAACTCTGCTTCACAAGTTTTAATCGACTGTTGGGAATATTCAAAATTTCAGAGAAATGGGTTTAGGTGGAAAGGAAATCAATCACTCTTAAGCCTCCCTGGTAACGTCTATTCAGGGGTCCTGGAGAGGAGGGTCCGTCGGATAGTCGAACCTCAGATTCAGGAAGAACAGTGTGGTTTTCATCCTGGGCGTGGAACACTGGACCAACTCTACACCCTCAGCAGGGTCCTGGAGGGTGCATGGGAGTTCGCCCAACCGGTCTACATGTGTTTTGTGGACTTGGAGAAGGCGTTCGACTGTGCCCCAAGGGGGGCCTTGTTGGGGGTTCTCCTGGAGTATGGGGTACCGGGCCCTTTGACACGGGCTGTCAGGTCCTTGTATGACCGGTGTCAGAATCTGGTCCACATTGCCGGCAGTAAGTCGGGCYCGTTTCCGGTGAGAGTTGGACACCGCCAAGGCTGCCCTTTGTCACCGATTCTGTTCATTACTTTCATGGACAGAATTTCTAGGCGCAGCCGAGGTGTTGAGGGGATCCGTTTTGGTGGCCTTAGGATCACATCCCTCGCCGCACACCTCCATCCTCTTCACTTTCAACTTCACCCATGTAGGTTTTTTTGGGGCACAGTCGAACACCTTCTCCAAGTCCACAAAACACATGTAGACCGGTTGGGCGAACTCCCATGCACCCTCCAGGACCCTGCTGATGGTGTAGAGC